GGCACTAGTGGCTCTGCCGATACAACGTCCCAGCCATCTGCCCTGGCAAGTCTGCTCTCCTGCTTTGCTCCCCGCTGAGGCGTGGGCACGCTGAGGGCGCGCACTCTGTCACTGCAGCTGCCGGGCTGCAGCGCTGAGCCTGGCTGGCAGCAGGAGGCCTGGGATCCTCGACTGCCTCCGTTTGTTACGCTATCAGTCACTGGGAGAGAGGGTGATAAAATACAGAGGCACAGGAATGCTTTTTTTTTTTTAAATGAATTTTTTTAAGAAACTGCATACATCAGAGACAAACAATAATTTAAATACCATGCAGTTTCAATATGTACAAAAACTAGGACGTAGAGATCCAGTTTAATTTTTTTCTAGCTATTTACATTGTTTTCATACAGCCATAATCTGTTAAATTACAATACTGGAAAAGCACATGATTGACAGCCACCACACTCACTCCTATACAAAGACAAACTATATACATACACTTGGATATCAACTGGAAAATGCAACTGGTGCAGGAGTAACTGGGACACATGGGAATGCAGGTAATGTGCCCATCCTCTCCTCGTTACAGAAGTTGCTCCAAGCTCAAGCAGACTGAACACCTGGGAAAAATCATTTGTCCCCTTTTTCTTTCCTGATTTTTTTTATTAGCCTAGTCATCTCCCATGGCTATTTATACAAAGTGATTTTATCTGCAGGCACGTTAGGGAGCCCCTGTTCAGGTATAACTATGGGCTTCCATCTCGCCCATTTTTTTTTGTGAGTGCAAGCTTTCCCTAGGCATGTTGGAAGTGCTCCCCCTCAGTTGGTTTATAGTGTTTCCACTGTACAGACGGCACTGTAGAAGTAACGAAGGGTGAGTTTGGTGACTAGCTGCAGTGATGACATAGTGCTGTGGTTACATATAAGTATTAGGCTGAAATATATTTATGTAATGGGCTCACTAAATAGTTTCAGTTAACATAACATAAAATAGTTAAAAGTCTATTATATTCTTTCTGCCCCCCTTCCTTCTCTTCTGGTAAGTAAGCGCTAGGAATTGTCTAGACACAAAAGCTGACCTGAGCCCCATCCCAGCGAACCTGCAGCCTGACACTTCTTCAGCTTGCCAGGGAAAGGCCACAACACTGACCTTCCCTGTTACTCATGAACACATTGCCAGGTCCCTATAGCCCGCTGCTGGCGAGGGTGTGGGTGGGAGGGTGATGCCACCATTGTGTTTCTTCATCACTTTTTTCCAAACAATCAAAACTTTTGTCTAGACGTTTTGGAGTTGCTTTTCCAATCCCCGCCACCTCCACAGCTCCCCCCCCGCCATTTTCCACCTCATCTTTCCATAGGCTGTAGAACAGATGTCACAATACTTGTGCATTTTAAGATTCAGTAGGTTATAACCAAAATGTTTTTCTTCCTTGACTCTAGAATATTATCTCCATTATCAGCCCTGGAGATGGATGATTGGAATAGCCATTTTTGTTCTGCGTTGATTTTTCCATTCTCTAAACCTGATGTAATTTCTTTATTACTACTATTAATCTCCCCCTAATACGAATGAGAATGACTGGTGTTAACTGCAATGTTAGCAGAGTCTT